TGTGTGTGTTGGTGTGTGTGTGTGTGCGTGTGTGTGTGTGTGTCTGTGGTTTTCCAAGAGAGAAATAATTACCAAATGCACAAGTGAACCCAAATATACACTGGAAAATAGAGTGTTTTATTTTTTCAAGTGGTTACACACACAAAAAAACAACTGGAGCATTTTTTTAAGTTGACTGCACATCGACTTCAAAATAATTAGTCGCCCCCTTTTAGACGTACGGATAGACTGCACATGGAAGCGGGCTATGCTCTTCAGTATGGGAATAAATGTAAACATTCTTCACAGAGGATAAAGGATACATGCCATTGAATGCAGTTCTATGAACTGTTTGACTGTTTGTGTCAAATATGTGTTGCTGAAAGGGTTATAACACCGCAACATTGATGCTCTTCGTAAATCCGTCTATGACCTTTCCTATTTTGTGTTGACATCAGGTTAGCAGACTTAAAGGCAAAATTAGGAGGTTATTTTGAATAATAAGTAATTCTCTTTATGTTTAGCTTGGCAGTAAACTCGAACTCGGAGTGAACTGAGTTCACTGCCAAGATGCAGTGCTTTTATTTTGTAAGTTTTTAGCAGCAGCTCACTCATATCTCAAGGCACCACTGTCTTTTTTTTAAGTGTGTGTGTGTGTGTGTGTGTGTGTGTGTGTGTGTGTGTGTGTGTGTGTGTGTGTGTGTGTGTGTGTGTGTGTGTGTGTGGTTTTCTAAGAGAGAAATAATTACCAAATGCACATGAACCCAAATATACACTGGAAAATAGAGTGTTTTATTTTTTCAAGTGGTTACACACACAAAAAAACATCTGGAGCATTTTTTAAGTTGACTGCGCATCGACTTCAAAATAATTAGTAATACATATTTGAGTGTAACTGTAACAATAGTAAAAATAATGATGAGACAGGGTTGAAATAAAAGACTAAGCAGCTCCCGACACTAAATGTTACTCAGTCGTCACTATAATCACAACGCTTCCCCAAATTATGACTTTATGATGGTGAAGCAGGTCACTTGACTGACTTGGTGGATTTCTAAAAAGCCATCACATAGTGTCACCACAGTGAATGGACATATAAATGCTGCTGCGGCTGACGTTAGGCAGCCGCAGCAAGAGCCAGATGGCTTCTGTCAAAGCTTTTTCGGATGTATTCTGCCCCTGCCAAGAGAAGCCGAGCAGCTCCATCCCGCCTGCCAGTCACGGTGAAGCTCAGCCAGGTTGCGACCTCACTGGCGGGCTCCGGTGTGCAGACGAGGGGAGCGGCTCCGCCGACTTGGACTGACACGCGAAGACGGCTGATGAATGAGAGGAGAGAATGTGATCACGAGGGTATAGATTTAAGAGACATGCTTGGTGTCTCCCTAATGTCCTCTGGCAGCAAGCGAACGGGGGAGAGGAGAAAGATGTCGGCTCGCGGGTCACGCTAACAAGAGTTTTTCATCTCAAAATTCTCCACGGCGTTGCAGATGGAACAGTTGAAGATAGGTTCAAACCATTTCATTGCACTTGCTCGAGTTCAGCACTGCAAATGACAGAACTTTGTATTGTTTATTGGGATGTGTCAGTCACTAAAATGTACAAATGATTTCATGTTTGTGTTATTTTACACTTGATGGCTGGGCAAGCAGTACACATATACACATTCTCTTCAACTGCTGGACATGTGGAGAATTTTCACAGCTCTGGAATGTACTAATAATAAGTCGAAAAGACACGTGAAAGTTCTTGAGTTGACAACAAGTCAATTAAAATTTGTAAAACGTAAGCGTAGCCAACTTAAAATAATGAGACGGAGCCCTGCAAATTTTGTCTGCTCAAATTGCAGTTTGAAATCATATTCCCATGATAGCATTTTGTTAAAAATGAACATATTTTGTGGATGTCGTTGCTTGATGTAAAATAAATATTTTTCAATGACTGTTGTTTATGATTGTGTCGAGAGCAGGCGTGCCCAACCAGTCGGAATGGTCCAAATCGATCATGGGGGTGGGGCGGGGGGGGTGTAAGAAAAAAGAAGATGTGATTCCGTGTACGTGTTATTAATATTATATATTTTTGTGATAGTGTACACCGCAGCCTAAGCGCTATCCC